GGTCGGTCGTGCTGGTGGCAGCCACTCGATGTGTCCCTTTCACATCGATGTTTCTCTCTCTCTTCCTCTCTCTCCCTCCCACTCGACCTGAACAAAAAAATGTCCTCGGGTGAGGATAAAAAAATAAAAAAATTTAATTTAGTTTAAAAAGCCTCAGCAGTTTGAGCTTCACAAATCTCGAGAAAAGTAAGTAATCAGTTGTAGACAATACCCCCAAACCTGCCCACCTCCCCTGAAACCTAAGGTTGTCCTTTAAGATATGATCAGGGGTCAGACCCCAAACACTGTCCTATGGAAGAGACGCTCTAACAAACTAACCTGCTCAGCTAGGGTAGAACCACCCCTTTGATCTCCAATGTCCCAGACTGAGACAGGAACGTCCCTTGTTCAGCTGGGGAAACTCCATTACCCAGAGGACAACGCGCGCGTTGAGCCAATGAGGGCCCAGTACGTCATTTCTGTGCTGCGCCCGGTCTCAGGGCGGGACTTCCCAGTACTCCTCCTGGTGGTCGTTTTGACCTGTCGGACTGTTCAGTAAGTCGGAGGCTCCCGAGCGCAGGGTCTCCGCCGAGGAGTCGCCGGAGGAGTGGTCCCTGCTGTGCAGAGGCGGGTCCGAGGCTGGTGGAGCCGCAGCGGCTGGGATCCCGGCCTCCGTTCCTGGCAGAGCCCGATGGCGGCGGCCGCGCTGAGGCGCCCGGCTGAGGTGAGAGCGCGTCCCCCGGCCTCCCCTCCCCCCCGCCCCGAGCCCCGCAGCCCGGGTGCGGGCGTCCGTCACGTCCTGCAGCCCAGGCCCGGCGTGAGGTGCTCGTGGGTGACACGCTGTGTGACGAGGGTGAGACAGGGTGACACAGGGTGACGGGCAGTAGGCTGACCGTGGAAACACGTGGACAGGAGGCTGGGCCGGGAGGATTCGGAAACCCGGGCCCTGTTTTCTGTCTAAAGGCGGCGGGGAAGATGAGGCGGAGTTGTTCGTGAGTTTTACTTTCGTTCTCAGGTCGCAGGGGCCATGAACACTAGTTGGAGGGTCGTGAACCAAACAGGGACGCTGTCTGCGGTCGGGCTCAAACGTTTCCCCAAAGCTGCTCAGAGGAAGGACAGACTAGAAGGGAGAGGAGCGCAGGGAGGGACAGGAGGTCCCGTAAAAGACAATGTCTCTGGCAAGAGTGTGCTCTGAGGACGAGGCCCTGAGGCAGTGTAGGCATCTCGAGGTCACCTGGCCCCGGGGCTGCGCAAGGGCCCTGAGCCGCCTGAGCCCGGGGACCCTGGCGGTGGTTGCCAGGCTCTCAACAGACCTTTGTCTTTCCACAGATTCCTGCACCTGCAGAATCGCTCAGGGGACTGGTTCGTGGAGCTTATTTCAGGATCTCACACTCTTACGATCTCTGAGATAGTGGTGTCCTGGGACTGCTGTATAACTCTTCCAGCTCTTAGTCCAGGATGAACTAGTTCAGGGACCTGCAGGTACCCTTTCTCGTGGAAACTAGGAACAACGGGACAGAAATCAGTTCTGGAGCAGGTCTATGACAATTTGGGCGTCTGTTCTGTAGGTGATGGGAGCAATGGGAGGTTTGGAGCAGTGGAAGCAGGTCATCTGACCCTGGTCTCATTAGAACCCCTGGGGCTGCAGCTTGGAGAACAGAATGGGTGTGATGTTCTAGAAAGATCAGGGAGGAGGCTGCTGTGATAGTTTGGGTAAGTGTGATGCTAATTGGATCAGGTTGGTGCCATGGATGTTGGAGAAGCAGTTGGATTCCAGATTGGTGTTTTAGATGTGTTTGCCTGTTTGTTTGTTTTTTTAATTGACTTTAGAAAGAGAGACGCACAGACATTGATTTGTTGTTGTACTTATTTATGCGTTCACAGGCTGATTGTGGTATGTGCCCTGCCATGGGATTGTGACCCGTCCCGCAGGTCCAGCAACGAGGACTCTAGAGGGGGAGTGAGGATGAGGAGGGACAAGAGACACGAGAAATGGAGACAAGACAGGGCTCTGATCAAGTCTCCTTTATTCAAGGGAAATTCACACAATGTATAGGGCAGGAAAAACAGGGAGCACCTTTTGTCAAGCACCATGCTTGCCGGAAGCAATTCTAGGAAATACCACAAGAGGAACAAAAGGTCAGCAAAAACTGGCTTGTTGAGTAAATGGTTACTTAAAGAAATGCAAAATGCAGAGATAAATAAATGCAGAATGCAGAGATATCCTGCCTTGGGGCCGGAGATGGTAGAGCAGATTTTAGCAAAATTGATGCCATGCAAAAAGTCTCCCACAGGATTGAACCGACAACCTTGGTTTGTTGGGACAACACTCCATCCAACTGAGCCATCTGGCCAGGGAACCATATTGAATTACTTTCTTTCTTTCTTTCTTTCTTTTTTTTTTTTGTGGTACGTGCCCCTAGCAGGAACCAAACCCGGGACTCTGGTCCGCAGGCCGATGCTCAACCACTGAGCCAAACTGGCCAGGGCGCCATATCGAATTTCTATTTTGAAGGTTGAGAGAGAGAAAGAGAAGTAGGACTCACAGATAACATGAAGATTTGGTTTAACAGCTAGCTGTATGGAAGTACCATCAACTGAGATGGGGAAATCCGTAGCAGTAAGAGTAATGTTCATTGGCGATATCGGATTTTATTTTTTGGCTTGTTAAGGTATGAGATGTTTCAGAGGGCAGTTCATGGGTGTCTGGAACTCTGAGGAGCAGTTCAGGATGAAGACTTCTCCAAAAGGTAGTAGAGAGTGTATGGACCAGGGAAGAGCTGAATAATTTTAATATGGGGAATCATGGTCAGGATGATAATGGTGTTAGCCCAGGAAGAGTTTGTTGGGCCTGAGGACTGGGTTTGCTGTTGTGACCCGTGGTTGTGGGAAGTTGGTGTCACAAAAGAGGTTACACACAGAAGTGGTCATGTAGCGTGTGTGTGTGTGCGGGGGGGTAGAATATGGATTGCCAAGTGGCCAAGGCCTTCATGGAATGAGTGGACATGAGACAGATTGGAGGACAAAGAGTAATTCACACACATGACAGTGGGGCTGGGCCTATTCCTTCTCTAATTATTCACCGGGATTTTGTTGTGACCTTTGGTGTGGCTTGGGGTGGGGTTGTCAGCCTGTCAGATTAGCTTATGGGCATAAGTGGTCATCTGTGAGATGCACTAGGCATAGGGTAGAGTGCCATTTGGGCTGGGCCTCAAGACTGCCTCTGTCAGTGTGGGCTGTCAGAGTGTGGGTAGGTATTTGATCCTATTTGAGTTTATCAAGCCGTCTCTGGACCACATATGCTGAGTAACCGGGAGATTACTATGGTGCGTGCAGTGCAAGAGGAATCTGTGGCAGTGGGAGTACAGTTGGGAGAGAGATGTGGTAGAAAGAATGAAGGGCATTGGAGAGGGAGTGTGAATTCATGGCCGCAGGGCCCTGGCTTTGACTTAAGTGTGAATGAAGGGTTAGCCCATGTCTGTCTGGAAGAATCTGTAGAAACCGCTGAGGGTTACCTTAAAAGGGGGGGTTTTTGTGGTCTAATATGTCAAGTCTAGAGCTTAGGTGCCATTTATCTGCCCATGTGCCTATTGTTCTTGTGGGCTGATACAGTGATCAGTAGGACCTTGATGAGATAGTGGACATCAGTGCCACCTGGAGTTGAAAGTCTCCACTGTCATGTGGATGGGAGAAGGGTAAGCAGGGGATAGATTGGGGAGGTGGTAAAATTAGAATCCTGGGAAAGAAGCTGGTCAGAAACAAATTATGGCATGTTTTTGTTACCTTTGAAGTTCTGGAAATGAACTGTGTGAGAGAGGTGAGAGGTGTGATTCTTTTTTTTTTTATCCTCACCCGAGGAAATTTTTTCATTTTTTGTTCAGATAGAGCAGGAGAGGGAGAGAGAGAGATGAGGACACATTGAGTGGCTGCCACCCGCACGACCAACCAGGGCTGGGGAAAACTGCAACCCAGGTACGTGCCCTTAGCGGGAACTGAACCTGGGTCTTTCTGGACCACAGGCCGACACTCTAACTGCTGAGCCAAACTGGCCAGGGTGAGAGAGGTGTGATTCAAAGAGTTATGTGCTGCTTTGGCTGTTTTTGCTCAATGGTTAGAGCATGGGTCTGCACACTGAAGCATCTTGGATTTGATTCCCAGTCAAGGGCACGATCCGGGTTGCAGTTTGGATTCCTTGCCTCTGTAGGGGCGCGTGCGGGAGGCAACCAATTGATGTCTTTCTCACATCAATGTTTCTCTCTGTCTCTGTTTCCTTCTCTCTCTCTCTCTCTCTCTCTCCTTCCCTCCCACTCTTTGTTTTTTTTCCAGATAGAGTGGGAGGGAGAGAGGGGGAGAGAAAGGGGGAGAGAGAGAAACATCAATGTGAGAGGGACACATTGACTGCTTGCCTCCCGCACGACCCCAACCAGGACCAAGGATGGACAGCAACAGAGGTATGTGCCCTTGGCCAGAATCGAACCCGTGACTCATTGGCCCGCAGGCCGACATTCTACCGCTGAGCCAAACCAGCCAGGGCCCCCTCCCACTCTTTGTAAAATCAATGGAAAAATTTCCTTGGGGGACGATTAAAACAAAAATTTTAAGCAGAGACAGTACTGTAAATGGGTAGCCTCAGGGCTCTGGGATTGCAGTCATGTGGGTGGGGGTTGATGCCATGTTTTTCTTTTCTGGAGGGAAAATTTGGGCTACTGTATTGACTAAGATAGTACAGTAATTCACACACTGACCTATGTTTGTGACACTCACCACATTTAAAGATGTAATGTGGCCTACATGCCAGCCCAGAGCTCATGTAACATTTATCACCCATCTGCCTATTGTTGTGGGAAGACACAGTATCAATAGGAAAATAAGAGGAGAGTGACTTCGATGGCACCATGGCCTGGAATCTTCTCTGAGGTGGGGAATACAGTGGGCACATGGATGTGGAGGGTGGGAGATAGCACACGCTTGTAATCCGAGGGAGGAATTGATCATGGACTGAACGGTCTCCATTATGACAGGATCTGAACTTTGAGGACATGGCCATTGCCTTCTCCCAGGAGGAGTGGGCGCTCCTTGATGAGGCTCAGAGACTTCTGTACTGCGATGTGATGCTGGAAATCTTTGCACTTATAACATCTGTGGGTAAGACCATCACATCCCTCCTAGTGTCCCGAGGTGATGTCCTGCCTTCCCCATTTTCTCAAAAATAACTGTCTTTCCCACAGCCAGACCATGGTTCTATTAATTCCTCACTTTCCTGTCTCATGTGCTGTGGCTGCCAGTGCTGGGCTGTGAGGGGTGCCTTGAGCAATGACTCCTTGAGCAGCCCCGACACTTACTGCCTGTGAAAGTGCAGAGAAGTGTCTGCAAACAAGGAGTCTTGGAGACAGCTGAATGGATCCCATCTTGCTTGTCGTCACCCCTGCAGGGTGACTATGGCCAGATCCATGGCCTCCAGTTCTGCCCTCTTCCTCTAGGTAACAGTTCTTTGTGACTGGCTGTGCCATGTCATGGTCAATACTTACATGAACCTTGGGCTTTTTTTTGTAAGATTGTTGTTTGTAATGTTTTTTTCCCCCCTGAATATTATTATTTGCCGAGTTTCTCTGGGCCAGTGTTGGCTGCCCACCTCTGTTGTCTTTTCGTTAAGACTCGGATCATTCAGGTTCTGAGTGGTTGTAGAAGGTGCAACTAGTACAAGAATAGAAGCTCCAGTAGGACCCTGGTGGCTTTTTTCACACAGTGGACATGGCAAGATGGTCCAGAGGAGGTCTAACGACGATAATTTGCGATTGCGAGAGAGCATGATGCCCTAGGGCTGTGTTCAGATCATACCATGAACCTGTACTGTGTTCGATAGTATTTTGGGGGCCAGGGCCACTGGTCACAGCTCATTTCTACCTTTTCATTTTTATACTTGACACTTTGCTAACTTGTCATTTTACCTATGAGTTTCCAAGCGCTGCCTGCCTTCACTTTTTTGGCCTCCGCTCATCACCTGTTCCTCTGCACTGCTCCCCCGTCAGTATTCCCTGAGAATAATCTGCACATGTTTTATGGTGTGTGCACACATCCTTAAATAGCCTTTGAACATCAGCTACTCATGTATTGAATTTTACTGAGAAAAGGACATGACCAGCCTCTGCACAGCTTACCCCTATCACCGGCAGAAAGTCCCTTCTGAATGCTTTTAGCAGAAACAACAGTTGAAGATCTTGCTTCTGTTCCATGTGGCACATGCCATCTCTGTGTCCTTTTTCTGGTGATATTTCCCCTATTTTGTGATCGTCACCCAGTAGTGAACAGCAGCATGTTATTGACCCTGCCTCCAGGTTGCTTATTTTCAGACAATCCCATGAAACCAACATATTATGTCTGACACACATTTATAATGGAATTTTTCCCTTTCACTAAAATGAACATCCGTGTCCTCATCATTTATCTGCTTTCAGGTTGTTGGCATAAAACAGAAGATGAGCAGGGCCTTTCTGAGGAGAGCATATTTGTAGGTGGAGAGTCACAGGTCAGAGATTCTAAGACAGCTCCAGCAACTCAGAAGACCCATCCCTGTGAATATTGCTTCTCAGTCTTGACAGATATTTTGCACCTCACTGAGTTCCAAGCAGTAAATGCTGAGCAGAAACCATTCTTCAGTGATGCATGTGTGGGAGGCTTCTGTTCCAGAGCAAACTTTCACCAACAACAGAGGGATTCCTATGGAGAGGAGCCCTGGAAAGGAGACATGGACAGGGCCTTGTTTGTGACCAGGGGCAGATTCCATATAACAAAGGTGCCTTTCAACTATAGGCAGGTTGTGGAGGTCATCCCAGCCATTTCTGTCCATTTCCAGCATGAGGCCTTTTTTAATAGTGATGAGTCACACAGTGGCAGTGAGAACGGGCAGTCCCTACACAGTGGAAAAAGTCATGACGAGTGGGGTGAATGTGAAAAAGTTGTCTGCCACAACCATAAACTTTCTCAGTGTCAGAAAGTCTGTTCTGGAGAAGGGCTTTGTGAGTGTATCAGATGTGGGAAGGCATTTAGACAAAAGTCAACCCTCATTCAACATAGGAGAGATCACACTAGAGAAAGGCCTTTTGAGTGTAGTGATTGTGGGAAGTCCTTCAGGCAAAGCTCTGGCCTCATTCAACACCAGATCATTCACACCGGAGAGAAGCCCTATGCGTGTAGTGATTGTGGAAAGTCCTTCAGCCGAAGCTCTTTCCTTATTCGACACCAGAGAATTCACACTGGAGAGAAGCCGTATGAGTGTACATATTGTGGAAAATTCTTCAGAGAAAGCTCTAAACTCATTTTACACCACAGAGGTCACACTGACGAAAGGCCTTATGAATGTAGTAAGTGTGGGAAATCTTTTAGGCGCAAAGATCACCTCCGTACACATGAGAGATTTCACACTGGAGAAAAGCCTTATGAGTGCTGCGAATGTGGGAAAACCTTTAGACGAAACTATAACCTCCTTCAACATAAGAAAATTCACACTGGAAAAAAACCATATGAATGTCATGATTGTGGGAAGTCTTTCATCCAAAACTCTACCCTCACTGAACACCAGAGATGTCACACTGGAGAAAAGCCCTATGAGTGCAGCGATTGTGGGAAAAGCTTTGGACAACGCTGGATTCTTTTTCAACACCGTCACGTTCATTCTGGAAAAAATCCTTTTGAGTGTCCTGAATGTGGGAAATCTTTTAACCGTAAATATCAGCTTATTAGACACAGGACAGTTCACACTGGAGAAAAGCTGTATGAGTGTAATGATTGTGGAAAGTCCTTCACATGTAGCTCTAAGCTCATTGAACACCACAGATGTCACACTGGTGAAAGGCCTTATGAGTGTAGTAAATGTGGGAAATCTTTTAGGGTCAAATATTACCTCCTTAACCACGAGAGAGTTCACACTGGCGAAAAGCCTTATGAGTGTAGCGAATGTGGAAAGACCTTTGGACGAAAGTATAACCTCCTTCAACATATGAAAGTTCACACTGGAGAAAAACCATATGAGTGTTATGATTGTGGGAAGTCCTTCGGCCATAAATGTAGCCTCACTGTACACCAGAGAGGTCACACTGGAGAAAAGCCATATGAGTGCACTGTTTGTGGGAAATGCTTTAGAAAACGCAGCAGTCTTAGTCAACACCATCAATTTCATTCTGGAAAAAAACCTTTTGAGTGTGGTGAATGTGGGAAATCTTTTAACCTTAAATCTCAACTTATTAGACACAAAATCATTCACACTGTAGAAAGCTCTATGAGTGTGATTGTGGCGGAAAGTTCTTAAGCCATGGTTCTGCCCTCATTTCTGCACAAGAGAGGTCACATGAGAAGAGCTGAATTAGTGTCCTGATTGTCAGAAGACTTGGAGGCAAAGCTCTAAGCTAATTGAACACCACAGAGGTCACACTGGAGAAAGGCCTTATGAGTTTATTGAATGTGGGGATTTTTTTTAGACATGCTCTAGCCTTTTGCAACACCACAGGGTTCACACTGGATAAATGCCTTATGAGAGAAATGAATGTGGGAAAAACTGGAAAATTTAAATTATTTGAGAATGGGAGAGGAGAAGAGAGAGACACATTAATTTGTTGTTCCACTTATTTGTGCATTCATTATTTGAAAGCCCAGCTTTGGTGTAGTGAAACAATGCTTTAACCAACTGAGCTATCCAGCCAGGGCTGGACAAATCTTGAACCTCATTCTATAGAGGAACGTTCACTCTGGAGAAATGCTTTATCAATATATTGTGTGTGGGCAGTTCTCTAGACAACATTCCAACCTTATTCAACACTGCCAGGTTTCTTCTGGAGAAAAGTGTTATGAGTGGGGGGAATGTTGGAAATTCTTTAGCCATTCCTCTATCTTCATTAAACAGCAGAGAGCTAACACTGGAGAAAGACCTTATCAGTGTAGTGAATGTGGGAAATCTTTTAGCCTCAAATATAATCTTAGACACTAGGGTGGTTCACACTGGAGAAAAATCTTTTTTTTTTTTTTTTTTTTTTTTTTTTGGTATGTGCCCCTAGTGGGAACTGAACCCGGGACTCTGGTTTGCAGGCCAATGCTCCAACCGCTGAGCCAAACCAGCCAGGGCTGGAGAAAAATCTTAACTGTCCTAGGAATATTTTATTTCCTTAGTGTAGGAACACTGAAGGAAATCTTGAGAACCATTTAATTTAAATATTTGAAGTGAAACATACACTGTGCTAGATTCCAAATATGTTTCAGGTACAGGTAAGGATTTAAGGAGCTGCACTACACTTTTTAACCTACCTGGGGATACTACCCCATTAATACCACATTTTGTGGCCAGTTTTGCTAGTGTCATTTGTTGTAAGACTGAGGATTAGAGGGAACCACAATTGGGACAGAAACATTGTACTAATAGTGAGTGGAAGAGACTACAGTAAATTCGATGGAAGGTGCCTCTTCTAAACGTTCATCCACGACTGTTCCAGGGACTGTGGCTTGTGTACTCTGCGGTTACAGACAATCTCAGGACATGAGTGACTTTTATCCCATATGGAACAATTTTTAATACTGGAAGGAAAACTTTTTTTTTTTTTTTGTCATAGGTACAATTTAAAGGCCAATTCTACCAGATACTTATAAATTTCATCTGCATTGTGATCCTAGTCCACCACTTTCTTTTAAGTCTGAACATTCCATGATACCTTAAGTCGAGATTAGGTTTGTGATCTTTTTCAATTTTCCTGCTGTAACCGCTCCTTATTTTGTTGTTTTTTTTAGTAACCTCTCCTTATTGTCAGTTTTATACTGCCAGAATGATATCAATGTCCATGGAGATTGTAAAATGTTCCAGTAGCACATCAATTTTCTTTTAAAATTAGTGATAACTGTAAACAATCTCAAAAATATAGATAATAAAACAGTAAACTGATTAGAAAATGTTAAGTTTCAAACAATGTTTTATAGTTTTATTTAAATATAATTGACATTTTTTTGTTTCCATACATGCTTGCATCCCTAAAACCAAGGTCCTCCTGCCTTTTTCAGAGCTTCCTTCTCAGCATATAAAACAACTCATGCAAGTACCTTTTGTAATTGCTTTTTCAAATATATACATTAACAGAAAACACTTATGAAACCCCACGAATCCTATTGTAGCCTTCCGTCATTATCTTTCATCATGGTGATTCTTTTTTTTTAATCCTCCCCCGAGGACACATTTTCGTTTTTTGTTCAGATAGAGTGGGAAAGAGTGAGAGGGAGGGAGGGAGGGAGAGAGAGAGAGAGAGAGAGAGAGAGAGAGAGAGAGAGAAACATCAACGTGAAAGGGACACATCGAGTGGCTGCCAACTACACGACCCAACCAGGGCCGGGGACAATCTGCAATTGAGGTACATGCCCCTAGCGGAAACCGAACTCGGGTCTTTGGACCATGGGCCGAGGCTCCAACCACTGAGCCAAACCGGCCAGGGCATCATGGCGATTCTTGTATTTATTACATTAGTGGGTTATTTTACTTAGAATCCCAGATATGTCAATGTATAACCCTTTTCTACAATGTATGGACTCTGATAACCTGAATACACAATTTTTTTTTAAGATGTTTATTTTATTTATTTATTTTTTTGGTACGTGCCCCTAGCGGAAACCGAACCCGGGACTCTGGTCTACAGGCCAACGTTCCAACCGCTGAGCCTAACCGGCCAGGGCAACAAATATTTTTCAAATACAGTAAATATGTTAGTGTTGAAATTTATTAATTAGTTTTTTAAGGCAGATTGTAGTGAAGATACAAAATATATTTGTATGGCTTTTATTAGGTATGTCTTTTGACTCTAGTCATTGAAAACTGTGCTCACTGAAAAATTGTTTATTAAGGCGTTAATGTTTTATATAGTTGGTTCAGTATTTCTCATGTTATTTAAAATCCTGAGTTTCCCCTGAATAATTTAGATGTCAACAGTACAAACGTGTAAACTATATTTTCTGCTACGTAGGCTTTCAGTGAAACTTCTCTCTATCTTTCATTTGTCAGATAAATAAAACATTACCTTTCACTGTTACATGTTTACCAGTTGCCAAATTCAAATTTCTCTGGGCTTGTTTTGTTTGTTTTAATGTAAACCTTCCTAAAAGAAGCCCAAACCCTCAAATGAAAAGCCTGAATCTGCCTTTCACTATGTATCTGGGTATCAAATCACAACACACATTATAAAAGTACCTCACAGGTTAGGGTTACACCTCAATAAAGCTGAAGAAGAAGATTGAAATTATACACATTCACACAAAGCCATGTCTGAACCCACACTGAGGAATAGCAATGAAATAAATTTTTTTTACTCACCTCTCAGAACAAATATAAACAATATACTTGTTAATTTACTTTCCCCTGAAGAGAATACTCTTTGAATTTAGATTAGTAAATGATTAGTTGTTGGGAATTGCCTTTTGAGGAGTGATGGGTAACGGCCTTTTCACTCCTGGCTTGCTTGGCACAGTGGTTAGAGCAGAGGCTCTTGGACCGAAGGGTCACAGGTTAGATCCCTGGCCCCCATTAGGAGTCAAGTGGGAAGCAACAAGTCGATGTGTCTCTTTCACATCAATAATTCTCTCTCGCCTCCCTCCCACTCTCAAAAATTAATGGAAAAATATTCTTGGGCCTGGCCAGTGGGGTTCAGTGGGTTGAGTTTCGTCCCATGGACTTAGAGGTCCTGGTTAAATTCCTGATCAGGGTACATGCCCAGGGTTTCGGGCTCAGTCCCCAGCAGGAGGCATGTAGGTGGCAGCTGATCAATGTTTTTCTCTCATCAATGTATCCACCCCTTCTGTCTCTAAAAACTCAATAAAAACATTTAATAAGCCCTGGCCGGTTTGGCTCAGTGGTTAGAGTGTCGGCCTGCGGTCCAGAGAGACCCGGGTTCGGTTCCCGCTAAGGGCATGTGCCTTGGTTGCAGTTTGTCCCCGGCCCTGGTTGGGTTGTGAGGGTGGCGGCCACTCGATGTGTCCCTTTCACGTCGATGTTTCTCTCTCCCCCTCCCCCCACTCTATCTGAACAAAATTAAAAAAAAAATTAATAAATTATTCTCTTCTTGGGAGAGATTTTAAAAAGTACGTTATCAGCAGTCAGATGTTGATAACAGGAAACATGGCCTCTGGTATATTAACTTTCATATTTGTTGCTCAGTTAAATATAATTCAAATATACTTGGCTATATTCTGAACAATTGCTATTGTTTTTTCATCACTTTTTAGGGACCGAAAGGTGTTCCTGAGAGAGGATGATGAGGCCATAAGGGCCGGTGAGAGAACCAAGGGAGCTCAAAGTTTTCCGAATGTTTTACTGATTTTATTATTGTTTTTTATTGATTGATTTTTTGAGAGAGAAGAAGAGAGATAAATATCTGTTTGTTGTTCCACTTATTTATCCATTACTTGGTTGATTCTGTTATTATTTATTTACCTTTAATATGTTTTTATAGCCTGGCCAGTATGGCTCAGTGGTAGAGCATTGACCCACACACCAAGAGGTCGCCGATTCGTTTTCTGGGCAGGGCACATGCCCAGGTTGTGGGTCCGGTCCCCAGTAGGGGGCATGCAGGAGAGAGCCAGTTGATGTTCTCTTTCATCGATGTTTCTCTCTCTCTCTCCCTCTCCTTCCTCTCTCTGTAAAATCAATAAAGGGGGAAAAAAAGTGTTAAAATCTGTTTTTATTGATACAGAGAAGGAGATAGAAACATCGATGAGAGAGAAACATCCATCAGCTGCCTCCTGTGTGCCCCCTACTGGGGACCTAGTCCGCAACCCTTGCATGTGCCCTGACCGGGAATCCAACCTCTGGCCTCCATGGGAGGTCACTAAACCAACTATGCCACATTGGCCAGGCTGCTGGTTGATTCCTGCATGTGCCCTGACTACGGATCAAACATGTGTCTTTGGTTTGGGACAGTGCCCTAAACAACTGAAAAACTCGGCCAGCGCCTGTTTTCTTGGTTTTAATTTAAGAATGCCATAGTGCTGTTGCCAGTGTGGCTCAATAGAGCATCGGCAAGCACACCAAAGGGTCTCGAGTTTGATTCCTGGTCAAAAGCACATACCTGGGTTGTGGGTTCAATCCTCTGCCCTAGTGAGGGTGTGTGTGGGAGGAAACCCATCGATGTCTCTCTCTCACATGGATTTTTCTCTCTCCTTCCCTCCCTCCTTTCCACTCTTTAAAAATCAATTGGGTGGGTGGGTGGGGGAGAAGAATAGCATTCGTTCTTTCAACTTTTCCAAGATTGTGCATCATTAAAAAAAAAGACAGGTGGTGTGTTTGAGTCAGAGGTAACAGCTGATAGAGTTATTTTATACTGGTCCCTGTGAAATAGGTGACACAACCACTTGATGTTGGAAACAAAATCACTTTTTTTTGCTGTAGAAGTGCTTTTACTCAGCCTGAAAACTTTCAAGTTCCATGGAAAGTTGTAGCTGGAAAAAAATCATCTGAAGGTGTTCAGAGGCCCCTTAAAGTATGGCTTCCCCTTCCTTGCATACCCTTGGTGGTGCTTGGGTGGCCCAGGACATATTGTCCCTATTTGTCCTCTTCTGGCTGAGG